ATCAAGCATCAATTCTAACGGTCACTGTGCCCGCACCTGAAGCAGAGTCAAACTGGAGTGGCTCATAGTTTAGGTAAAGTGTCCTTCTAGGCCTTCACACCCACAGAACAGCAGCGCCCCCTGTTGGACACAGAGGGGTATAACATAGTTAAACGTTTTTAGAACACGTCCTGACTTCCACCTTGAGTTTGAAATTGAGTGTCACTATCATAATATTGCCTGTGATGTGACATTCATTTTTTTTTTTTACCAGAATCATAATAAAGATTATACAACGTATTAATAAAAGAGTGTTATTATTATTATTATTATTATTGTTGTTGTTGTTGTTCTTGTTGTTGTTTTTATTATAGTAATTGTTATGAGTATATTTAGTTTGCATATATCATTGTTCCTTTACTTCACACACATAAGTGAAGCTGGATCACGACCCAGACCAGACAGTCCTGCACACATCACACTAACACACACACATAGACACACACACACAAACACATAAACACACACACTACACACCGCATTCATGTCAGTGCTGCACAACCATGTGGTGCTTCCTCATAAGACTCTCTGTGGTCATTTCTCATGATCTCAGCTGTTTGTGGTGGTCATGTGCTGCTACATGACCTCATATCTATGGATGTGATGTAGATCTAAACTACTACTACTACAGTTGAGGCAAGGCAGGTTTATTGATTGCCTTAACTGTTGATCTGTGTTGGTGATTTCAATAGTTTTGTTAAGTCCTCTGAGATTACAACTGTTGTGATTTAGGGCTATACAAGAACACTTAGCATTGTATTGTAATGTATTTGAACAGCACAATTCTTACACAAGGAAACTCAAAGTGCCGAACAAAATAAGATAGAAACAGTCACACAAGGAATTAAAATCATAAATAATCACAGTATATTAAAAATAAAGATCAAAATATAAAATCCCAGTTGTATGCACAGCTAAACAAAACTGTTTTTAACCTGGGTCTAAACATTATTAGAGAAGAACCCTATCTCACATCTTCAGGAAGATTGTTCCAGATTTTAGCAGCATGAATCTGAAAAGCAGCCTCCCCATGTTTAGTTCTGACTCTGGGCACTAACAGGAGTCCAGTCCCTGTGCTCCTCAGAGTCCCAGCAGGAGTCCAGTCCCTGTGCTCCTCAGAGTCCGGGCTGGTTCATATGGGACTAACATGTCACTAATATATTTTGGTGCGAGGCCATAGAGAGACTTGTAACAAGCAGAGCTGTTTTAAAGTCTATTCTCTGAGCCACAGGAAGCCAGTGCAGAGACCTGAGGACTGGACTAATGTGGTCGTACTTCCTGGTTCTAGTCAGGACTAATGTGGTCGTACTTCCTGGTTCTAGTCAGGACTCGAGCTGCTGCATTTTGAATGTACTGCAGCTGTTTTACAGCCTGTTTGGACAGACCTGTGAGCAGGCCATTGCAGTAGTCTAACCTACTGGAGACAAATGCATGGATAAGAATCTCCAAGTCTGCTTTAGACACTATGTTTTTGATCCTGGTGATGTTTTTTAGATGGTAAAAAGCTGCTGATGTTACTGATTTGATGTGGCTATTAAAATGTAAGTCTGTGACCAGTATTACCCCTGGATTTCTGACCTTGTTTGTAGCTTTTAGGGAGAGAGACTGTAGGTGACAGATGACGCTCTCTCTTTGTTTCTGGGGACCAAAGACAATCATTTCAGTTTTGTCAGCGTTTAGCTGAAGGAAGTTGTTTTGCATCCACTCACTGATCTGTTGGATACAGTGAAGGAGTGAGTCCACCAGTTGTGATAGGACACACACACACACACACACACACACATACACACACACACACATACACACACACACACACACACACACACACCACACACACACACACACACACCACACACAAGGCAAGGCAAGGCAAGTTTATTTATATAGCACAATTCATACAGAAGGCAATTCAAAGTGCTGAACAGAACAAGAAAGCATTAAAATCATAAATAATCACAGTACATTAAAAAAAAGATAAAAATATAAAATCCCTCAGTTGTATGCACAGCTAAACAGAACTGTTTTCAACCTTGTCTTAAACATTGTCAGAGAGGAGGCCTGTCTCACACACACACACACATTTACTACTTTAAGGTCAAGTATTTAGAATGCTGTTTTGCATTACGTTTTTAATGTTGAAAAAAGAAAAGAAAACGTTGCATGTTAAAGTGAAGAATCTCTGGTCGTTGAATGGTCCCCGGTGAAAGACTTGTTTTACAAAAATAAACAATGAATTATTGAATTATTGAACAGAACATGTTTTCTTTATTTAAACATTCATTGGGGTTTGGTTTTACATATTCTTGTTTGTAAATAAACATTTATCTACAATAAATATAACTAATAAAAACAATATAAATTAATAATTATAGATATAAATAAAAGTAGTCTAAGTATTCAGAATACAGTTACTACTTTTTCTAAAGTAGAATACAATATGTTCATGATCAACAAATCTGTACAACTTTGGGAAGTTTGTGATTGTGGGCGGGGAACTACACACACACATTTACTTCAGTTTATTGTGACAATAAGAACATATTTAAAATGAACTGTGAATGAAAGCAAACTACTCTGTGAGCAGATGACTGTTTTAACTGTTGATCTAAGGACAAGCTTTAATTAGCTCCCATGCTGGTACTCATTCACCAGTTTATTCTCACAATAAACCACTGTTCTATAGCTACTAAAACCTGATGAAGTCAAAATAATAAGTCCAGAAACTCTGCTCTGACAAAAGCACAACTCTACAACAATTACAAAAACACATTAAAAACTGCCTCGCTATAAGCCACAGGGTTTAAAGAACTACACAAAAGTTGAGGCTCATAGTCCGGCAATTACAGCATATAGTATTGCATTCTTCTGTGACACACAGCAGGCCAAGGTCACGTGGGGGTTCCATTAAATCAGTTTTCTTCTTCCTTCTACCTTTCAGACATAGTTGTTCATCAATGTCATTTTTGCTTGATTGTTTTTGCTAGAGAAAATGAAAACTACCAAAACTCTTGACTTTGATATTATCTGATCTACATTGTTTGTGATACATATCCTCCAAAGCTGAGGTACCTAACTTTTTCATAATCCCTGTTATTTGTCCCTTTAGAAATAATATCATGTTGTGAACAAATCAGATCACAGTGTCTTCATTTTGTTAGATTAGATTATATTTTGCACACTTTTAAGAAAGAGCCCTGTGAGTCACTATTTGACGATTTGGACTGAGAGCTGATTGGCTGAGTGAAGGTGATCCTCTTTTTCATTTTTCAGTCTGAGGCCGATGTGACAGAGGCCAAACATGTATGTGAAACCCATAGTCTGAAGTTCCATAGATTATTTGAAAATTATAGTATAAGAATTATTAAATGTGGTTTTAAAGTTAGGTAGTCCAGTTGTAATGCAGCTCTCCTTAATGTGTTTCTGCATCTCATTGTGATTAGAAAGCTCATATTCCACAGAGGACACATCAGAGGAAAGTGCCGTGCGCTGCAGCCTGTGCGTCTCTGCTCCGGTCCTACAACATCCGGGCACCAGCAGCTCGCGCACACAGAATGGCGGAGGTAAGTGAGCGAAAACGCGGCTATAATCGTCCTGATCCTGGCCCAGCGGGCCCGGATCTAACCTGTACTCTGCCCTGGAGTGCTTATGTACGTGCTGGCCTTTCACCACTGTGATGGTGGCCCGTGTAAGAACGCCATAGACGGCTTCAGACGGACTCGGAGAGTGGGAGTAATGGAGCTCCGCGACGGATCGCTCCGTGTTAAAGATCCATTCGCTCAGAGCCTCCGCCGAGATACTATCGCGAACAAAACAAGAGGCAGCTCAGGAGAAGTGCACAGTTGCTGAAGTTCCCCACACATGGGAATCCGACTTGTACAGAGCTGTCTGAAAAGTTAGACACATGAGTTGAAACTCCGGGAGTGTGGGGGAGCACTTATTTCCTTCTGTCCGTGAGCCGCAGAGAGGAAGAGCATTCAGCACCAAGTTACAGGAAAGCGCCTCTGGTCAGACCACTGCAGGACTAGACACAACTTAAACATCTTTACAAGTACAAGACAGGCACCTTCTAAATCTTTGGTACCGAACTTTGTAACAAGAAAAGACAAATAATGAATAAAATCCATGTTACGAGTTCCTTTCTCTTCAGAACAAAACTTCTATCACTAGTTTTCGCCGGCATGTGTTTTTGGTCTCTGTCACATCTTCTTATCAACCTTTTCAGTGTAAAATCTAGTCCCAGACCCTTCTCAGGCAATAATCTCTCCATATTATTGAGGACTCTTTTCTCTATTGATCCAAACAACATGCATTTTTGAAACAACAAAGTTGGGTACTGCAGCTTTAAGACTGAGACGCTACAAGGCAGAGACAACGTTTTCACATACTCAGCTTCTCATGTGTATTAGTACTGACAACCATAGATACTTTCTGCAGAAAGTTTAAATCTACGGTTGTTTAGCTGCTTTCAGTATAAGCCCACTGCACAATCAGATGTCATATTCTTCCAGTTGTGTAATAGAAGTTTGTTTAGAGTTATATGTCCACAGCAGCTGGTGTTACTAGTTGAACTGGGCGGTTCAAAGTCAATGGTCAGCTGACTTCTAATAAGATGAGCTGAGATCAGCCTCAGGCTCACCTTGTGTTGTTCGTGTCAACATGTGTGCCTGTGCAGAGACGGGAGAATGTGGAATGTCCTCTCACCTGTTTGTCTTGTCCCTGATGTCCTCGTTTGTGTCCAGGTGCCCGGGAGGCTCCTGGTGTCAGCCCCATGACCATCAGAGGCACAGACATGAGGCGGTAGCTTCAGCTCAGCGGGTCCTTAGGGGACATCTCTCTCCTCACCCATGGAGATGGCAGCACAAGCCCCCACTGTACGGACATGTAACAATTACGCCTTGCACATAATAATACAATATCTTTATTTATATTTCCAGTGTTTTGTACTCAAACTGGAATATGGCTACCATCTTTTTAACAGACTACGCTGTGTTTGTTTAAACAGTGTTTTTTTCTTCGTCAATTGTGTGTGTGCAGGCCAGCGAGTCGCTGGAGCAGCTGCTGGCTCTGTACAGATTTACAGAGAAGGAGTCCTGTCATCGGGCTGCCAGCCTGCCTCACTCAGTCCTACACAAGGTGAGATGAGAAAACTGTTTCAAAGTCCTTTTGAGCTGCCCTGAAGAAGGCCCTACGTGGCCGAAACACGTAGCATCTCTGTATATTAAAGGATTTTTATTTAAATGTCAAGAGTGCCTCTGATTTTTCCTCATCTCAAGTGTCCTGTTGAGCTGTGTGTGACTCTCGATGTCCTGCAGGGCTTTGTTCCTCAGGAGGACGGGGGGCTCTCCGTCACTTCCAACGCCTCGGACCAGCACAACCCTCCACATGGTACAAACACATGCACCATACTGACTATTATCAAAGTGTTGGAGTCAGCTGGGCTGGATGATTGAATGATCATGTATTTGATCCCTGACAGGATGATTTTGAATTATTTTATGTTGTGTGTCAGCGTGTAACACCCACAGCTCCTGAGTGTTAGAACCACCTTAAAGTGTGTTAATAGTGTGACTTTAACTACATCATGAAGTAGAGCAGATTGAGCTTGGACACAAAGGCTACAAAGTGACTGATGAGTTGCATAGCAAACGTTTAAATACATTTGTATAAATATGTTTTTGTTAAACATAAATGTTTTCTTTCATGTTCCAAGGTGATGTGAAAGGAATATTTGAGGATGAGGACTCTGATGAAGAGTCTGATGATGATTCTATTCCCTCCAATGAAGAACATAAGGTTTGTCACAGTTCATTCTACATTTCACAATGTTTGGAAACCCAAAATGATAATTATTATTATTTACAGGCAATTATGGTTGGCTCAATGTATCAGGCAAAAATCCCTCCACTCTGTCCAAATGCCTGTGCGGATAGAGGCGAGTCTTCCATCTACATTCTTCTGATTGTGTTTACAATGTCGTTCATGTTGTATATTATTTTGCATCAGAGTTTAAGTGTCAAGACCAGTTGCTTTGGAGTCCTGGTAATCTGCCCGTGAAAGAAGTGGAGGAGTTTTTGTTAAAAATTAAAAAACAACAGAGCCAACAGGAGATGGATGCCTTCAGTGGCAGTCTGCGGGACAATGAACAGGTGAGCTGTCTCGCTTGTAGATCATCATATTGTCATTTACAAACTAACATTTCTTTTGTGAAATATCAGGCACTGTATGAACTAGTGAAATGTAACTTCAATGCAGAAGAGGCACTGAGACGATTTCACTTTAATGTGAAAGTTATAAATGGTGAGAAGCTGCTCTTGAATTAAAAGCACTTTTTCCACTGACGCTCACGACGACTGATATTGTCAATGTGCTTTCTGTACTTTCTACAGAAGAGTTCTGTGGCTGGAGTGAAGAGGAGTGCAGAAACTTTGAGCACGGCTACCGCGCCTATGGGAAAAACTTTCATCTCATCCAGGCCAATAAAGTGAGTCTTTGATCAAATGTGTTTTATGAAGTAAAAATACAAACAACACAATAATGTACGTGCGTTTTTCCTGTCAAGGTTCGCACACGTTCTGTAGGAGAGTGTGTTCATTATTACTACATGTGGAAGAAGTCTGACCGCCATGAGTATTTTACACAGCAGTCTACTCGACTAAGTCGCAAGAAGTACAGTCTTCAGATCATGTAAGTCAGAGGACTCAAACTCAATTTAGCTTTGGCCTCACAAGGTCAAGTCTGGATGGACTTGGTATTTAGAATGCAGGCCAGCAGACATTTACTTTTAATATTAGCTATTGCATTTATGGATCAAAGTTTATAGTAATGTAATGGTTTGGTTGTTTTCTTGATTATATTAGCTTGAAAAGGATTTATAATATGCCATATTAGCCCAGACTCTTGATGGGGGCCACAGGACATTAAACGTTGATGTGGGCCATTAAATACTTTTTCGTTCATACTTGTTCATCCGACTTTGAAATCGTCCTGGGGTCTGAACTCCTGTGCAGACTGATGTGTACAACTCTCCCAAATGTGAAGAGGACCTTTTCAGCAAAAAGCAGTGTGAAGTATTGTGTGGGGACACAATACTTCAGAGGATCTTTGAATGAAACCAATGCTCCAAAAACAATTCAGAAGCATTTTTGTCAATATAATCCACTTAATTTACCGGCTGCTTATGTGTTTCTTTAACCATAGGGAGGATGGAGACCACGATGGGGAGGGGGTGGACCAGGAGAGCAGGAGCAGTGAGTTGTCTGACAGCTCTGTCGGCTCCGGACAGCTCAAGTCACTGGTGCCTCCTGAGACGCGCCGGGACAAACACGGTAAGACACAGCAACACATTTACAGGGCAGATTTTTCTACGTATCACACTCACCTTTTTGGTGAGACAACATTGGGTACACTAAAACTAAATTGGTTTCATGTGAATTTGTCACATAAATATTTACTTTATTTATATATAAAGTATTAATCATACCATATCCACATTTTAAAACAGCCGTGTGCTCTCTCCCTCATATTTGATCCACTTGGTGTTCTCAAAATATTTCTGATCATTCTTTTTTTTAGCATTCACTAAGAGTTTCTTATGTTCCATTTACCTTCTGTGAATATTATATTACAATATTATCAAATATCAAAGCATTAGGTTTGATAGTTTAGAGTTTAATAAAAAAAATGCTTTCTACAGTTTTATGTTGATATCTGGGCCTTCAACACGAGACACTCTGAAGTAAGAAGCTAATCCTGCACGTTGCTTTAAAAATCCTCTCGGAGTGTACCAGTCTTCTAGAGTTATTTTGCCAAAATATGAAGCAAAAAGATACAGTTGAAAGGACTGCTGTTGCTGGTGCAGCACAAAAAGTTAGTTTTCACTTTAGTGAGATTGTTTTCTTACAGCAGTGGAATCATCATTTGGATTGGCCAATTCTTTCTGTACTACAGTCTAAATCATGTGGCGAACATCATCACAACAATAAATAACCATGATATATTTCATTTTTTGGATTTGAGTTTTTCTCTTTCACAATTATTTGTTTTTATGATTTCACTTTCACATTTCATTGATTTGTGTTTGACTTACATATGTTTTGTGCATATGTGTGTATGTGTCCGTGCATGCTTTGACATGACATCCAGAGGAGGGGAGGCGGCCACGGCGCAGAAGAACTCCTCGCTTTCTTTTAAAGCCATGAAATGGTCCACACAGGCCACTGAAAGCAGGCTGGGCCTGCAGGTAAATGGACACTTACACAAAAATGTCACATCTCAACTAACTTAGGCTAAAAAGAACACTCTGATTCAATGACTCTTAATTATTTTATCTAGTCACTGTTACTGCTTAGATGATAGGACAAAAGATTTCTGGATGTCATTCTAAACATTTGGTCTGTGATTAGATGGTGACCTGAGCAGAGGCCTGAGGGCGGTGTGCAGTGTCAGTCACTCTTCAAGCCGCTGCAGGAGGATGTATCCACCTACGGACTTCTCCCCGGGGGGTCTTTACTTTGACCTGTCGCTATACCACTCATGATCTCCAAACTTCCAGTGGGGCAGTGGAAGCCCTCCGTCCTGTCACGATGACCCAGCACGCCCCTTTTTACACCAGCCACTCGTGCACTGAGGCCACGCCCGTCTCTGTGCCAGCCCTGATGAAGAAGGAGCTCCAGCTTCGTTGGACTTCCTCCATCAGCCCCGGTCATGTGACCTGGTCCCACCTGGACTGTGGCAGCCTGGTCAACACACATGCCGTCCAGCTCCAGTCATATCTCACATGAACCCTGAACTCTGTTTAAGAATATTCATTTTAAAAGGTGATTAAGGACAGACTGTTGTCTACTCCTAGAGTCAACCAAAGCACAAAGATGGAGCAAAAGTCTCAGTGGATTACCTGATGAATCTTGACTCTGGTTATTACACTTGAGTTTATCAACTGTGGCTACGTGTTATCTATTGGATTGTTGTTGTTTTTTTCTTTTTTAAATCTTGTTAAAATGTATTTGATAAATAAGCAGGACATGTTCACTGATGTGAACTTGAGATACTGGTGGTGCATTCATTGATCATAAATGTGTTTTCAATAATGTTGATGATTTGTAGATGGAAGAGCCCACTCACTGGAAGTCTTACTGCTCACCTCCAAAACAACCCCAGGAACCTGCACTCTTAACCTGATTTCTGATACATATTTGTTGGGAAACCAATTTCCAGACGTTTCTCAGGTTCTGTATGGTTTTCCAATTAAAATTTACTGTAGGTCTGAGAAAATGTATCAGAAGAATGTCGTAACCAAACCTTGGTGTTGTTGCATTCAGGGGCGTCTCTGTGACTTCAGCCAGACGAGCTGAGCTGGACTGTTTACATAAACTGTTGGTATTAGATCATGAGCATTCTTTTATTCACACATTTTCTTTTCCAGAATATGTATAAATTATAGAACAAGCATTTTTGACAAGCAATAGAATACAGTAAATGAACTTTGATGATACATGAATACTGTTGTCACGTGGTTCAAACACCGCAGGGCTGCCGCTCTGTCACAGTCCATCGGAGGTGCTGTGGCACCACCTTCCCCAATGACCTCTGTCCTTCAAGGCTTTTGGGATATGTTGCTGTTCCTAAGATTTGCACATCTGGAATTATAGTGCTCTTATCATTAAAGCAGCTCCAGGAACACAGCCTTTGTGAGTGCAGTTTGCATGTTCTCCCCTTGACTGTCTCCTCCAGGTGTTCTAACAACATGTTCAATAAGTAAAAATCCTCCAGCTCTGGTCCTGATCAAGTCGAGCATCTACATCTGGAGATCTGTCCATCCTTCTGTTGCGTCTCTCCCCTGGTCCTTCAGAATGACTTCACTGCTTGGACTTAACAAGATGGAAAATAATTGTGGTTAGCCATGCTTAGATAAAGTAATAATGGTTAGCCATATTTCTAAGTTCAGGAACACCTGCTTTTAAATGTTTTGTCATAATCTCTGCCAGCATTAAGGATTGTCTAAGTTTCACATGCAACACTCTAAATTATAATATTTCTTATAGAGAAAAAATGTACAGTTTATACTTTTGTTGAGACTTGAGTCGACAGTGGCTCAGTCTGTAGAGCATTGGCCTTTGAGCCTGAAGGTTCGAGCCCACCACAAGATATCTCCTCCGACTCCCACGGATGTTTGCTGTCGTTGTGACCTTGGCTAGACACTTCTCCCACATTGCCTAGAATGAGTGTGCGTGACTGGTTGGTGGTGGTGGGAGGGGCCGATGGCACAGACTGGTTGCCTCGCTTCTGTCAGTGTGCCCCAGGGCAGCTGTGGCTACAGTAGTAGTTTATCACCACCATGTATGGAGTGCAAGAACAATGACATGTAAAGCGCCCATAAAAGCGCTATATAAAACCGATGTGTTGTTATTTAAATAATGCACGTTTAACACATTTTATTGAAGTAAGAACATTACTTGCTTTTACTTTAACAGAGTGAAATATCTGTTTTTTCTTTTCAATGACTGAACAAATCTAACATTTCAAATTGAATCCGTCTGAGAACCTTTTTGAGCACATACACACAGATGGACTTTATAGAGCTGACCTCTGATGACTCATTTACTCTTATTTTAAGTGAGAAATGGCAAATAAACTAAACTCACCTACAGTACATGTTCTTTGATAAATCTTCCTGAACATTAGATTTTGGAGCTGGTAGAACACATGTAAAATCTGGTCATTGTCATTTGAAAATGTCATTCATTTTAAAACCCCTTTATTGGTCCATTTCTCATGCTCATAGCACCAGCCCCTCACTGATCCTCTGCAGGTGGTGGGTCCACAGGAAGATGGCTGCTCCGTCTGCAGTGACACAGTCTTGTTCTTTCAGCAGGGATACGGGCAATGTGGGGTAAAGTGTCTTGCCCAAGGACACAACAACAGCAGACCAGTTGGAGTAGGTTTTGTGGGGGGATTGAACCCACAACCTTCACGCCAATGCTCTAACAACTGAGCTACTGTCGCACTAGAGAATGTTTGATTTTATTTAAAAGAAGAGGGTCACGTCTGTATCTGTTTGTCTGCTCCAGGGGTTCGATGCTTATATTTTATCTATTGATTGACAACAAATACAAAATCGAGTTAAATGCAGACCGTGTACACGCTACTGCCACTAGAGGTCTCTATAGCACTGTTTTTGTATTTTTTTGCGCCATAATATGGGGGACTAAAGAGCAGCTGATTATTTAGCCACTCATTATTATTTACAGCCCTGAAGTAAGTGAAGTAAGTAAGATCAGGGCCAGGGGCAAAACCATGTACAGTAAGTATAGCCAGATACTGCCTGAAGACAACAAAAGATGATGTGTTGTTATAATTATTTGTATTATAAAGTTATTTCGAGGTACAAATCAGGTGATAGGTCTTGAGTATAAACAATAAATATATGACTATTTCCTGTGGTGCATTAAAGAGTGTTGCACTTACACAGCCCAGGTGTCACTACAGTAAACTTTATGGTGATTTGCCTGCAGCGTGTCCTGGTTTTCATCCGTGATCTGGACGCCTTCTGACAGGAAAAGTAGGCAGGGATTGAAGGCTAAAGAGGAGGGACCGTGGACTGGGGAGAGGGCTGACCGCGGAGCCCCTTCGCACAGGGGGACTGGAGGATCATAGACTGTGTGTGGACGCTCCGTGGGTGAAATGACGTGTACGTGTCCGTGTCTGCGGTGATCTCTGCCGTGTGTGCTCCTCATGTCCCTGCGGGGATCTCTGGAGAATCCCGGAAGACAAACCCGTACGGCAGGTTATCAACTTGTTTGCTTAGCCTGCGCCTTGTCTTCCAAGCGTCAATGGAAGTCCAGACAACAAGAAGCTTTTTGAAGACTGCTTTTTATTTCTGAAGTTTTACAAACGCAATCAAGATGAAGGATCTGAGGAAGAGAAAGCTGTACGTGGTGGTGGACCTCCTGTGCGTGCTTGTGGGTGAGTGTGTGCAGCCTGTGAGAGGACGTGTTGTTGGGGTGAGACCAGTGTGACATGTCACTGTCACTGCGCTTCTGCAGAATAACATGTTGGCTCTCCACAGATTCTGCAATCACACTTCATTACCTGGTAGTAAAGTATTATAGACCTTTAGAGAACTTTTCTCTCTCGCTCTACTCTACAAACACACGATTCATAATTGCACAATAATTACAATCATGTTCAGCAATGTGTGCAGTATAAATATTAAAAATACATTTCTGTTCAGAAGACACACGCATTACAGTGGTTTCCTTTTTCTCAAACCCACTAAATAATTTATTTATTTTATTCTATTTGTTTATTTATTTGTACAGTGCATTTCAACCAGATTGTAAAACGTCGGATTGTAGCTATGAAGCTAATTTCCATCAGTACTACATGTTCTTAGTGGCTGGGGAAACCAGAGGACCTGGAGGACCTGGAGGAAACCAGACCATGCACAGGGAGAACATGCAAACTCCACACAGAAATGTCCTAGAGGTGAAAATGACTCAGGACCTTCTTGCTGTGAAGCTCAAATGCAATCCACTGCTCACCGTGCCACAGTGGTTCACTAACCCATGTCATTGCATTCTGGAAGAGTGTCAGCCCTGGACTCATCTAAAGGCTCATGTGACGAGACCTCTCCTCGACGGTTCTCTTTTTGGGTTATTTGAAATTTGTTTTTGCTCTTCCTCCAGAAGAAGGAGGGTTTAAGGTCACAGGATGCTCTAGGACACTTGCTTCACTCCTGCTAGCTGTAATTTATAATTGATTTGATATTATAATTCTCATAAACTTTACACTTGCATGAGCAATAAAAATAATACTTTTATTACTATTAGAACTGGAAATGAATCCATTTTAGCCTCCTACTTAGATTGGTGCCAGTGTGTTTTTACTTTCTCTATAGTCCAGTATAACATCTGAAATGAGGAGAAAGTCTATTTTTTATTTTTTGTTTGTTAAAAATTGACCTGGTACTTCTTTGGCCGGATCAGACCAATGATGTAATTGTAAATGTGCAACTAAGCATGTTTAAAAACCTCTGGCTTTGGATCAAAAGCCAGAGCAGTCTCCCCATCAGCTGGTCTGGAGTCAGGAATCAGACTGGGCTTTGGTCTCTGTGGTCTGATGGCGGTCCTTTAAAGCCCTGGTCTCGCCCTTCCGTCTGCCGCCCACGTCCATGCACACATTATTATCAGCTCAGGCCTCTCATTACAGAGGGTAGCAGCACAGGCGGAACACAATTTTTACACTTTGTACTTGTTTCCCCATATATTTTCTACTATACTACTACTAGATATTATTTCACATTCTAAAACATGAAATGATAAAGTAAATGATCTTATTATATTTTTAATGGAAAAAACGATTGCATCATATCCTGTCTTTAAACCCTTTTACATAGTTATAGTTAGATATGACATATTCTGCTCCAGGCCCATATATGTACAGTTTGTGGAAATGAAGATATGTTTGAAATGCTATTTTCAATGCTATTCAAACAAACAATGAAAGATATTCAGTGCTGCTCGAGATGGCATCAAGTTATAAACTGTTCATGTTGAACAAAACAACATTGAAGCATTGTCACGTTTGAAATCAACATTGAGTCACACAACAGAGAGTGTGGACGGACTCACCTGCTCTCCTCGTGTGACAGCGTCTCTTTAGTAATATAATGACCAATGAGGTGTGAGTATGGTGCAGGTGGTTTTGTTTCATAAATGCTTTTTGTTTGTCTCAGCAGAAAGAATTATGATTCACACTAGAACTCCCAAAGCAGTCAATTTGACGGCTTATAGTTTTAGAAGTGTAATTCCTCAGCGTATGTACCTTTTTGGTCCTCTTAACTTTGTGACCATTACTGTTTCTTTATGTAGTTCAATCTGGAAAGACTTGAGACGAAGATGCATTAGAGATTAGAATATTTATCGTCAAGATGCATGAGTAGACACCAGTAGACTTCAATTGAGTACTAATATATTTATTGCGTTAGGATTGGATGCAATCCCCCTCCCTGAGCCAAAGACAGGACATGATACTCCACTTAAGAGGTAGTGATGGGGAGGAGGTGGGTTGCTGCTCGAACAGCAGCTTGTGCTGCAGAGAACTGAGAGGTTCTGTTTAAATGCAGCCATGAAGTGATGAGCCCAGGTGTGTTACTGAGCAGCTGAGGCTGATGCTGTTGAGCTCAGGCACAGGCGAGCAGAGGGAGGAGTCAGTGCAGAGGGGGAGGAGTCAGTGCAGAGGGAGGAGTCAAGGGGACTCTGCACTGACTCCAGAGTCCACCACCCAAAGTTAAGAGGAGTCAGTGCAGAGGGGGAGGGGTCAGTGGAGAGGGGGAGGAGTCAGTGTGGCAGCATAACGTCTCTTTGGTCTTCCAGTCTGAATTTGCTCTTAAGCCACATTTTATCTCGATATCACTATTTTCATGAATATATCTTTTATTTCTTTAAATTAGAAGAGGGCTTCCGTTAGCTCCATTCATTTATAGCCATTTTCTGTCACTTTTTATCTATGGCCTTTTTATTCAACCAGTCCTGGACCGGTCCTGGACTGGTTCTGGTTCTGGAGTGGTTCTAGTTCTGGACTGGTTGCCATAACAACACACGTTAGCAGTTGGTAGCCTTTCAACATAATGTGTTTGCTGTATCTGATGTTATATTCACCAGATATATATACTGTATATATACACATGAAAAGCTTAAGAAATACCAAGGGCTCAGAGAGGAGCTGGAGAGGGCCTGGAGGGTAAAGGTGACAGTAGTGCCCGTGGTGATCGGTGCACTCGGGGCAGTGACCCCGAAGCAGGAGGAGTGGTTACAGCGGATCCCTGGAACAACCTCGGACATCTCGGTCCGGAAATGTGCAGTGCTAGGAACAGCAAAGATACTGCGCAGAACCCTCAAGCTCCCAGGCCTCTGGTAGAGGCCCCAAACTTAGGGAGGGATAAACACCCGCGGAGGACAAATGGTGTGTGTTTTTTTAAATTTATTTTTTTATGGTAAACTCCATTGTGGTGTTGTGAATAAGCCCTGGCTATACTGTGCATCAGATGAATACATAATCTGTTTGTTTTATCTGTCCCATCAAATAAACAAATAGAGCTGCGAAGAGCCCGCCCACTTCCTGGTTCTAAGATCATGAAAGCCTGCATTTTCCTATCGGGATTACTGACAAAAATGATATAAAAGATGGAAAAGTTGTCTGGGTCTGATTAGCTATCCAGTGAGAGGATCTACATTAGGGCTGTAACTATACTGGATGGTGGTTCTTTGGAGATTTCACGACACTTTGAAGCAACTGTGGTTAAAGTTAAACTCATCATTTAAAAAATGCACGAGGCAGTACTTTTCCACTACATGTTTTGGTTATCTCAAGGCCAAACTACTGGCACGTGGCAAAAGCTGATTGGAGGTCTCCATTCTTCCATGCTGTATAATATCACGTCTTCTGTCTGTGCACGATCCCAGATGATTGTCTTTTTCTTTAGTTCTTTATGGGCCCATATGACATACTGGAGTTAGAAACAGTGTACAAGGATAGATAGATACTTTATTGATCCCCGTAGGAGGATCCGTAGGAAAAAGGTGTCCAGTAGCAGCAAAAATAAAAAATAAGTTATTTTTATTGCACTAAAAACAGGCTCTGGCGTTGTTTTGAAATAGTCCGTATCAGTAGCACGTGTTGTGATGAGAGCTGAGCTGGTGTCTCCAGAGAGCTTCTGCAGTGGGAACACTGGTTGTCTGCTGTTCTCACAGACATGTTTTATGGGATTGGGGATAGTTTTCCTCCAGAGAGCTCTCTCCTGGAGACCTATCTCCCAGGGCAAACAGCCTCTTTATAAGGGCCCTTGTAATTTAAGCATCAGTTTTTGCTCATGATGGTATAAAGCCCTATATATAGGGTATAGAACACAACTCAACATGTGTTATTGGAGGATTTGGACAAACATGTAAGGACATGACTGTGATGGCCCAGTGAACAACTTATTACATTTTGGAGGTGATCTGAGGATTATTTTTTAAGAAAGGAAACTGTACCTCTTGGTGTCTGCACTCTGCACTCCGAGTGCTTTTCTAGTTTTCACATGTACTGGTAAATCAAAAAGGAAACTCAGACATATTTTAAATAGAGTGCGGTGTTGGATCCTGTCCCCATGTTTGGATAAATAAAGAGGCTGCAGACTGTTAGAATGTCTGGCCAAAACTGGATGCTTGAACTTGAATACAGTAACATAAACTCGAGTCTGGTCAGCGGTCTGTGGCAGCGGTTTTTCAATAGTAAAAAACAGAAATTGTAGAGACCACATTTGCGTTAACTTTTGATGTAAACATGAATTTGCTCTATGTTTAAATGTACATCCTTAAAGGCATTAGGAATTGGTGTTCATCTTATGAATAAACACAGAATCCTTTCCCACTCTCTGATCAGAGTGAGGACTCTCAAGAGAAGCCGCTGTAATGTTGGCAGCGGGAGAAGACGTTTGTGATGGTCTTGGACTTGGAACTGTGCACTCTGTAAAGAGAGCACCATCCACAAGAGAGACCGACTGAAGACAACCCAGAGTTTATATTTCCTTTCATTCGTTTGTGTCTGAGTGACTGTTGCAACAACACATCCTCAGTAAAACTAACCTGTCTCACGACGGTGAGGGACCAGTGAAGGACCAGTGAGGGGACCAGTGAAGGACCAGTGGGGGACCAGTGAAGGACCAGTGAGGGACCAGTGAGGGGACCAGTGAAGGACCAGTGAAGGACCAGTGAAGGACCAGTGAGGGACCAGTGAGGGGACCAGTGAAGGACCAGTGAAGGACCAGTGGGGGACCAGTGAGGGACCAGTGAGGGACCAGTGAGGGACCAGTGAGGGACCAGTGAGGGACCAGTGAGGGGACCAGTGAGGGACCAGTGAGGGACCAGTGAGGGACCAGTGAGGGACCAGTGAGGGACCAGTGAGGGACCAGTGAAGGACCA